TCCACCGCGGTCTCTGTGGCGCAATCGGTTAGCGCGTTCGGCTGTTAACCGAAAGGTTGGTGGTTCGAGCCCACCCAGGGACGGTGGGATCTTTTTTTTGTTTCAGTAGGTCAACACTCAAAAAGACATTTAAAGTAAACCGTCAGACCTCCTTGCCCACTTTTTTTTGTGATCAAGGACAAAAGCCAAATTTATTGAGGAAATTAAACGTCATTTCTCTGATAACGGTTGCTGACTACACCAAAATAGTCCTTCCCAATGTGACTGTCCCCAGGTTACTCGCCCGAAACCGTAACAAAACACAATCATCGTCAAATACGTCCAATTCAAAAGCGATAGCACCAACAGTGTAAAAAGACTAAATGTATTAAATCTCGTAGGGAGCAGAAACTGTTCTTTTATATCAGACTTCGACACTTTGGATCCGGCTTCTATCTGAAACACTGCTTACAGACTCTGCGTGAATTCGTTACTGTGGAGTTACACCCCGCGGGCCCAGAAAACAAATAAATACAAAGGTCAGGGTCCCCACTCATTTTTACAAACAAAATTCCAAAACTTTTCCATGACTTCTTTTCCTGCATAATTTACATCTCGCGTGTCCTGGGTCTTCACCTTCCTGGAGCCATACCTCGTGTTTTCATCTGTGAACCGGAGGGGCACTGGCATGGCGCGAGGCTGGCTCCCGGCTCACGAGACCCTTCCCGCGAGAGCGTCTGACGCGACACCATGTTTCATGTTGGCGACAGCAACGCCGAAGCCTCTTTTTAAAAGTTTGCTAACTTATGAACAGAATTACTCGATACAGCCATGATAACTTTGGGTCAATTGAAATAAATTCCATGAATTTCTCAAAACCGTTCCAGGATTTTCATGACTGTGGGAACCCTGAAAAGTAACTGCTTCATGGGAAAATAACCTTAGAGCAAACGACCTTTTCGTGTTCGACTTCTTAATATTTTTGAACGCATGCGAAAAACAAAAAGACAAAGAATTGATACATTCAATAAATGAATCAATAAGACACTCGGAAAGACTAACTGGGTGGGTCCAGCAGTTACTGGCAAGCGCGAACAGAGTCCGGCTGGGGGAACTAGACCCAGTATCGCCCAGCGGTTCTGCCAAAGTGAAGATCGCATGCGAGGCTTGGGCAGGGATTCGGGGGCTGTTAAGAAAACACGAATGCCCACCCGCGGCCCCTGTCACGGACTCGCGTGGAGCGGGAGCTCAGCCCGCTGAGAGCCGGGTCTGCGGCGCTGGCAGGTCGAGAGACGCCCGGTCCGGCCCGGTCCGGCCCGGTGGTTCCCGGTCCTTTGATCTTCCGTCTCCGAGACCAGCCCGACCGGCAAACATCCGGCGCTGGCCTTCACCTCGCTGGACAGACCGTGTGCTCGGTGTATGCGGAACATCGCGACCCGTCCGGGCTTTCTGAAGCTGAAGACAACGTGAAGCCCAGCCGCTGAAAGGGAGACTCTTTATTTTGACCAGATCCCTCTCGTTTTCACTAGTCACTCGTTATTTTCTTTTTTTACAAACCATGAACTCTTGTTTCACGTTTATATTTCGTATCTGCAGTCTTTGTTGCTGTTGTAAACGTGTCATGTTTCCGTCGAAGCCTGAACATGAAACGGTTAATAAAAAAAATTGCCCCTGCTATCAGCCGTTTCATACGCATCACATTGTAGGCGGTCATATATGGATTTGAATAATTAGCACCCGAAACCTCTCGCATACCTGGACGACAAGAGAAAGCTAGGAGTTGCAACAGTAGGGTTTAAGCACAGCTGTTGTTCCCAGCACATCCGCTGGGAAGTTAAAAAAAAATATGTTCTTCATTCGGCGAAAAGCAGGGGAGTTGTATATAACACCAGAAGTTAGCAGATAACACATTCCTATCCGTGATGATCCAGCCAGAAGATGATCAAACCTAAAACAACAAAACCGGGCGAGACAGTGTGAACAAGGCGGAAAAGATGCGGTCATACCTGATGATTCCCCGAATTTAGAGCGCTCCAGAGCTCTTGGGAAACTTGAAAAGTATCATCTATCTTTTCCTAAGAGCAGAAGGCTTTCCTGATCTCAGGTAAATCCTCACACTCAAGAGGAATACAAGTGTCACGCGCGACTGTAGAACCCAGAACAGCGGCAACACAATTTAATCATGAATCCGGCTCCAGGCTCTGTTCTAACTGAACCTTTCAGCTACATTTCCTTCTTTTTAGATGTGGCTGTACTAAAGAAAATATTTAGGACATCTACATTTACAAAGCTTTTTTTTTTAAAAGCAAGTGACTGCGAGAAATTACTCATTTTTCTCCTTAAAAAATTGTTTTCGTTTCACTGGACGTTTGCTCAGTTTTTAACACGGACAGCCTTCCTTTTCAGTGCAGATTCCGTAGATAATCCGGTCTTGTTTATGATTTGAATGGATTTAAAGAATAATAATGTTAATAAGCAATACAATAACAGATGATATAAGCATCATTTATTGGAATGAAGATGATCACTGATTTATTTAGTGAAATTCGACGATAATTCTGATTTTGTTGAACTTTCATCCCGGCTCTGGTGGCCGATACTTCCGAGTCAATGAGAGAACTGCGATGCCGCTGGCCTACCGTAGCTTATGTCGATGACAAATAATAACAGTGATTTAGAAAGTAATCGCTGTGGTACAGAATTGAATATTTTAAAATAAATAATTTACAAGCAAACACACACACGTTATTGATCACAATTGCTCGATGGTTCTTTTCCTCAGTCGCGCTGTTCAGGCTTCTGCGCGCAGCTCATTCTCAAATACACATTGTATGTGTTAATTATAAACATCGCAAGACAGGGCCATTGATTATGGAAATAATCATCAGAATTATATAACAATTCCATTATATCACATCGCAGAGGAAGCCTGTCTATCCATTATATTTAAAAATCAATTTTAGGCATCAATGTAACTGAAACAAAGGGACGGACATCGAACTATTATACTTCCGTAGAAATATAGATGGACGAAAAACATATCTGTTAGATGTTGAATTATTAAATGTAAATGAGATTACGCTCATTTTAGAAGCTAACTGCTAAGATGCCCACCCTCCTTAATTTAATTGTATTAAATGTTGCGCCCGGGAGAAGCTCAGGGCCACCGTGACCCTGAATTGGATCAGCGTTGTTACTGAAAGAGATGTGTTCCTGTTAATTTGGGCATGACGTGTTTATAAAACGCTGTTTGTTTTTACAGACGGAGATTTTCTGGATTTTTTTTGTGGTGGTAAGCATGTCTAAATCAGCATTTATTGCTGCACGGATAACGGTTAGAGATCCCGCTTTTATTTTTGGTCGTGAAGCCATTTGGAGCCTCTGCACACAGCCGAGTTAATTTCCTGAGTTTTAATTTGAAGGCTCGCACTCGGCCCAACTGGGCCCGTACTTCATTTCGAAAGCGTTGGTAAAATAACAACAAATAACAGCTTGGGCTATAATTTTAAGTAAAAATGTACCCACGTGGAAAAACCTACTCATCTAGCCTTCTCTTTGTGTTTTTGAACGCCAGTTTTATCACTCACTTAAAACGTGTTCACGCAATAATAATGATGGCTGGGGCGGCTAATTACAATCCAATAAAATTAAGACGAATCTGATGGGACGTCATTATCTGTAAACACAAACGATTTCTGTTTTAACTGTCAACCTTCTTTGCTACCAATCTCCATTTTGCAGCCTCGTAAAACCGTGAAAATGTCTTTCTTTTGTTTAACCGCTTAAAAACGAAAAACACGTTTTCATTCGTTGTTTTAATCGTTTTAACGCTCGTCGTATAATCTGAGTCGCAGTACTCAATCAATCTGTACACACACGTAGGGAAAGTGGGGGGGGGACGCTCTCAATCAATAAATCTTTTCTTTAGGAAAAGCGGCAGACGGGTTGAACATACTGTATGTCATTTAGACGGAGCGATCCCGCTGGAACAGGCCTTGGTGCGGAGCTCGGCGCCATGGCAACAGACAGCTCCCATCCGGGCCCCCCTCTTCCGCACAGCTGGCCGCTGCGCCCTCTGGCGGACAGTGGCGACCGCGCAGAGCCGGCGCCGCACGGCAAACCCGTCAAAAGGGGAGAAAAACAAATATTGTGGAGCTTCAGTACTTAAAAAGTTATATGACGTATGTGAATCTGGCCTATATTGATAACCTGCCTCTATATACGTGACCGTAATCAGACATTAAGATCTTCAACTTTAAAACTCGCGACTTCCAGCGCAGCCTGTTCTATACGGCAATGTATATTTTACATTGGTGGATGCTGCACATTTGGTGGTGGTGGAGGGGATCCCCATTACCTGTAAAGCGCTTTGAGTGGAGTGTCCAGAAAATAGCTATATAAGTGTAAGCAATTATTATTATTATTACATATACGTGAGTTTGAGAGAAAAAAATGATTACTGAATTTCGGTTAACTAAACGTTTTGTAATTATTTTGTAATTTTGTAACTAAGGCGACGTTTTTAACCGCTTCTCACTGAAGAAGAAAGTTAAAGCAGGAGCCCGCAGCGACACCGGGAGTGAAGGTGCGGCGGCCTCGCGGGCACGCGAACAGGACGGGCGCGAGGCCGACTGGAGGAGTTCTGGAACACGGCCGCGCGAGAGCCGGAACCATCAACTTCAGAGCCGCCCGTTCTGGTCACATGAAAAGTGGTTTTAAAAGGCAAAATATTTTACGTAAAGCTGATTTATTTTTTAAGAGTTGACGACCGTTAATTAGTGTTGCTACAATTCAGTACATATTTTAGCTGTAAGGCTGGCTGCATTAAACACGATGTTATGTTTAGAAATTGTAATCACATTTCTAAAAGATGCCAAACAAATCCCTTAAATGAAACTGAAATTCACACACTCGGGTATCTCTGGCCGTGCGGGCGATCAACCCACGCACACAGTTCAGACTGCGACGCCCTGCTCAGACGTTATAGCCGGGTCCGAATGTCCCGCGTCACTCGCAAAAACTCAGCAGACTCACTCCATACAGCAAATCGACGGGCCAGTGCAGGGTCTTATCGGTCATCATGTTGTCATTAAGAGTCACTACGAGACAGACCTGCACCAGTGACGTGTTTGTATGAAGGCTGTGATGTCACTGTGAATTACTACTCTCCCCCAGAACGCTCGCTGTCATAAAAACAGTGACTCAAATGGAAAGATATTCCTGACTATTTTTTTAGTAAACAAGTTCTGTTTTTCCCTGTGTTTTAAGTTTACTCAAGAACAAAGCGTCACGGGGTGTTTGTGTTTTCATCACTCTCTCTACAACATAAACGTAAAAATAAACACCTTAGCTGACTCACCCCAGACCGAGCGTCCGACGTCAGAGCGAGTCCAGTTTGATCAATGACTAAGCAACCACTGCACGGACAGAAACGATTCCGCAGCGAATTTACTGACCGACCTTCGCGTACAGACGACTGACACACGAACTACGCTCATGCACAGAACACACGCCGTTAATTGTAGTTCCCCAATAGAAACAAAGGTATTTTCGTAAGTTATTCTCCAGAGAAACGATGGTGCTCAGGCTCTAGAAGTTACTATTTAAAACCATAGATACTGAAATGAACGCAGAAACGTTTTTACTGGGCTCTTTAATCATCCTGAAAAGGCTTCGATCTGAGGAACATTTTTTTTTTACTTTCCACAAAAGCTTTGAATACCGTTCTTTTTCAATAATTCGCATTGCAAACAAGGTTATGTATTGCTATCTTTTAAATAACTTGGCTCAGTAGCATTTTTTGTAACCACAGTTCAGAACTGGTTTTCCCATCCGAACCCCACCGTACCGACCCGCACTCTCTGTGCCAGAGGCTTGTAATCCCATCAAAACGAGCTGCAATATGAATTCGAACGGTCTTCACAGACTTCGTCTGTATATTCCAACACGTTTTCCACGATGAAGTTTATTTTGTTAATTACGGGCTAAAAGGAGTCTAAAAACGGAGAGACTCTGGGCTCTACTCAGTGTTAAACACAAATTCGTTTCCCAGACGTTTTCTAAAACCATTAGAATATAAAAAAGAAACGCAGTAAAGTGACTCGATATTCGGTTAATTATAGAATAGGTTTACGAGTATGTCGTTGTTTCTTTATTTGTCGGGGGATCTGCGGGTTTACAGCCCTCACAGTGAAGCCCTAGGCTGCACCGAAACTCGGGAACCGGCCCGGTGTCCGGTACTCAGCTGAGCTCATGGCGGAATCCTTCTGCGGACCGGTATCGGAAAACGACGAAGTTTTGAAGTTTGATCGTCTTCCAGCACAGAGACTCACAGGTGGAGACAGAGGGCGAACTTACCTTCTCATAATAAAACACTTCGCCGCTCTGGAAACCAGCCCCACCAAGCCAGCGGTCCGGGACCCGCGAGGAGCGGAGAGAACCGAACCTTCCGGACTCGACCCGGACTGGATCGGCCTCACAGAGGGCGTCTGTGTCGAACCAACACACACAGATGGAGCTACCCTTTATAACAAGTCTGTTTTCTGTTACACAGAACTTGAAAAATCACGATGTTGAATTAAATTGTTGTGACACATGAGTGTTACTCACATTACCAATACAATACCGAAGAGGAAGCTTTTTGTTAATGCAATGTGTATTTAAAAGAAATAAAAAACACGCAATGAAATAAATAAATCAGAAGAGACCGTCTGGACAACAGTGCTCTAACCCAAGACGCAGTTTTCGTTTCTCCTTTTAAGTGTTAATGATTTAAATAATCTATCTTTACTTCATACAAAACCCCAAGCAACTGTCCAGAGAAATAATGCATGGAGAGAATTGTGAGGTTGTTATAAGCAGCTGCTACGTTTTATTTTATTAAAAAAAACATGTATAAAACATATAATTTATAATACTACCTGCAACATATGTTTTTTTTTTCCAGTTGCCAAAACAGGACTGTTGGTGTTAGGTTTACACTGACATGAAAACGAAATAGTTTCAATTTTTACCTCACATACCCAAATCCTCCAATATCCCATAATTCCACACACACTGGCTCTGCTCTTCAACCGAACTACACAGAGTCCCGCCTACGGGGCGGAGTGTTCCTGTTGTCACCAATAGTAAGGCTCAATTCGCCCGAAAAGGCTCGGTTCTGACCAATCACCATTCACGTTAATCAGCAAAAAAAGTCCCTACAGGAAGCCGTCTGTTAAGTTAAGGGGGCTGCAACTGTGACTTCGGGGTTTTGTTTTCCTGTTCGTTTATTAACAGGATACCTCCTGTGGAAAACCGTATCGATATTTCTAGATTTTGTGGAACCGAAGGCGATCCCAAACATTAATCAAAATGGTGAGTACCCCGGGGAATGAAGTGCAGCGGTGGTGAAGTGTGAGGCCGGTCTGCTCTGTCGCCGCGGTGACACCGCACATTCAGTGCGCGTGCGGGACCCCGGTACCCCGTCTTTTTTGCAAAACTGTCTGAGCTCTCAGTGTAGATTTCAGACTGTTGAAAATGTAATAGCAGATTAAAAATGTGATACCTCTGCATACGAAGGTTTCTAGATAAGGCGCATCATGGTTGACGCATCAGGTTCTGTAGCTGCGACTCTTGACTTTCAGTTTCGTGTAGAGATGCTCTTCTGCCGCGGGTATTTAACACAGGCCCCTTCTCTCCCCTCCTAAGTGATAACATATCAGTACCCGGAGGGCTACAGTTCATTTGATAATTTGTGACTTTTTTTAAAATTTGAAGCGACTTCCACGAAATAGTAACGATTAACTAATATCCGAAATGATATAAAAATCCAGAACCTCTTATGATCATCGGAGTGAGTTTCCTCCCTGCCTTAGATCCATAAAAGATGGGGTCTTACCTTTGGTTTCACAGTGTATGCTTGAAAACAAAGGTAACTTAGGCAGATTGATTCATTGTGTCAGTTAAGCATTAAAGAGCTGGCGGTGGAGCTGAAATGTGCAGACTGTGCGCCTCCGGGCTGAGGGCGGCGAGTACGTGGCCCAGGTGAGTGCATGTGGGTCAAGGTGGCCAGGGCTGCTCTCAGTCGCTCTCTCCTGTGGCTTGTGTCTCCGGCGCAGTCGATCATGTCCTATAACGGCGGGGCGGTCATGGCCATGCGGGGGAAGGACTGCGTTGCGATCGCTGCTGACCGGCGCTTCGGGGTCCAGGCCCAGATGGTCACCACAGACTTCCAGAAGATCTTCCCCATGGGAGACCGGCTCTTCATCGGCCTGGCAGGGCTGGCCACAGACGTACAGACAGTGTGAGTAAAGAGCGAGCAGGGCTGTCCACAGACGTACAGACAGTGTGAGTAAAGAGCGAGCAGGGCTGGACACAGACGTAC